AACTGTGTCAGTGTGCGGCTGGCTGCAGCCTGCAGGCCCAGGAATTAAGTATGCATGTCCTTGGCATTTAGAAAGTCCAGATGTCTTTATCTTCTCGGGCATCGCGTTAGAGTTTGTCCAGATGGCATCTTGATTGCTGGAAGCTCAAGTGATTGAATTACTGGGGCCGTTATCTGCGCGGCAGTTTAGGCACCTAATGCTTTCACCATCATGTTAAAATGTGTTTGCCAAGTGCCAGGTAGGAGGCCAGATCACTAACTAACAAGTCGGTAGCATTTCTAAGCATGTGTAGTTAATGCCCCAGGCCCGAGTAAAGCCGACAGCCCCCGGTCGTTGGCGGGCACGATTGAACCAGGGACCTTTGGAGCTTAATGCATGAACCTCTACCGCTTGAGCTAAAAGCCAACTGGCTCTTAACTAAGACTGTAGAGCAGATTCATTTTATCTCTCTGTGTCTCTAAGTGGTCTTGGTGCCATTAGATGGGACAGAACACCACACCCAGGAGGTGTGTGGGTTACACCTGCTCTAGATTTCAGCCTAATTTAGCTAAGCCCTCTGTGTGGAACACCTGGTGATACCTTTGGTTACCCCCATAGCCACCGAATAGGGAGGCTTCGGTGTTCTACCTGTTGGAATAGTTTCATTTTAAGAAAGAAACATCTGTGTCTGCTACCAGGCACAGCTAACAGAACAGACTGTGCTGCACAGAGGCATTTTCTAAAGCGCTCAGCACTGGCCTAACATTGCTCCCATTGAAATAATTTTTTAATTAAGCCAAACTGTCCATCTTGGACTTGTTTTTATAGTTCCCTGCTCCCAGTCCCCCTAGTATGTCTGAAATACCCTTCCCAGGCAGAGCATCCACCCTCTCTATATTCAAATCCCTCTTCCAAATTCACAAACACTGACTTCACGTCAGCAAAAATACCGAAAGAAAGGCCCTTCTCCTTTGGGTCTCCTAGCATGTTCTATGTTGTCCATTTATTTAAAAGCTGCAAACTCCTCAGGGCAGGGACTGTGTCATCTTCTGTGTCTTGTGAAGCACCAACTGCACAGTCAGCTTTAACACAGAAATAATAACGTAGTGAGAGCACGAGCATGTCAAAAAGAGGAAGGACTGCTTTGCAAGAGGATGTCCCACCCACAACTTGCTCACCTTTGTCACACAATTACCTCTCGTGCTGCAGCTTTCCGCAGTCACCTCTTCACCCTCTTCCCCTTTCCTAGCCTAACAGGTTTTGATCACATTGCTCCCGGTCTGACTGCTAATGAAACACTGTCTACAATTCTCTTGAATGCCGGCTTGGTTTCTTCTTCTTAAGGAACAATAGGAAACATATTCTAGTTCTAATTGAGCATAACCACAGTCAGGTGGAACAGTGAAGTGGTATTTCAAAGCATCTGAATTCCATTTGCTAAGCCAGGGAACTTGCGTCTCAAATGTACTGTACATGTTTCAACTGAGAGCAGGACAATGTGGGTGTAAAGATTAGATCCAACTTAGATATAAGGTGGGGTTTTTTCAGCTACAGTTATTAGACCAAATCCTGCCCTCACACCCCATGCAACCTCAGTGAAAGAAATGGGCCCATTTTAACTATGGAGTAAGCAGGAACAATTCCCCAGAAAGCAATGGAATTGTAATCCACTTGTGCGAACAAAGTCAGTTGGGGCCCATGGGGTTGCACAGGGTCTAAAGCCAGAAGATCAGGCGATGTTGCAGGGACTAATGCCAGGCAGTTTAGGTTTGTTTGTTTTCCTATTTGCATTCTTGCATTTTTTATATGTAATCACAAAATGTTATGAATCTCACGCCCTGCCCTTTTGTTTTCATCTGTGGCTGTGCAGTGAGAAACACGGTTAAAAAGGGAAATGCTTTAGCTTTTCAGCGAATTAGCAGGCAACAGCCAAGGACAACTGTGAGCCAACCTGCTGATTCAGCAGAAGTAAAATGTGCAAAATCTCAAATTCAAGACGTAGGCTCTGTCCTTCACTCCTTGGAAGGCGAGGGCTGGGGGCAATAGTAAATTTTCATTTTATTTTAAATGCAGCCACCCTTTCCCTTCTCTCTGTCAATGAATTTCACCCCAGCTTTCCCCCCTCACTAATCTTTATCCCTTCTTCCAAACTGTCCAGGACCCCTGTAGCCCTTTTTCTATTCCACTGAGCAAACCACTTGTAGTGTCCCTCATGGGAGAGAAGAGATTAGACCTGGTTGTACTAAATGCAAAGCAGATTGTTAACTGTAGTTCCTGCTCTGTTGCTCTCTCTGGCTTGCCAGCAGACAGGCAGGGACTGTCTAGTAGCAACACACAGGGTCTGCTTACTGTGAGTAGTCAAGGAAGAAATGGCTGATGACAGTACAGAAGTCACCCTTTTGTTTGGCAATGCCTCCTCAAATTCAGTTCTGCAATACCCAGAAACATTGCGCAATGAAAGTAGAGTACTGTCACACCACTCTTTATAAAACAGCCAAAATTGCTCTCAGATAAAACCTTCTTCTAGATCTCTCAGTGCATTCAGGTCTGATAGATGTTATCTGGCTGGTTAGACTGTAAACTCCTTGGCGGCAACCTGTCTCCTTCTGTACCTTGTACAGGGTGTCTTGTACAGGGCTGAGTATTGTTCTCTCCTAACAAACAAACAGCAGCAATCATTCAGATAATCTACCAACTCAATCCCATGCATTTTGTATTGGAGAGGATTCTTTCCATAGCCACAGTTTTTGAGTTTCTAAAGCCCAGAGGCTGAGATTTTAAATACTGCGTAGGGGGATTTAGATGCTCAATTCCCATAAAAATGTACTATGAATTGTGTATCCAAATCCAAGAGGCAGCTTTCAAAAATGTCAGCCATAGTGTACAAAGAGGCTCAACATACTGTAAATATATCCTATACCTAATGCAACAGTTCTCCATAAACTCATGGTCTGTTGTCCCTGTTTGCAGATCATGGCTATTCGGTCTACATCAAGTGATGATGGGTAACTACAGTATCAGGTGTGAAGATGAATGTTCCGATAAAAGCCAGCAAGGAGGGAATCAGGAATTTGGAGAAGAATTAAAAGGTAATTCAATGTGTAAAGGTTCTCTTAATTGGCCAGAGTGCTGTTGAGTAAAAATGTATTGTTTTGGCTAGGGAATCCTGCCTGGCTAGATAGTCACATGGCTACAGTATCATAATTGTAAAAATATGTACATCATGGCTGATTTACCCTCATATGGCAGCATGACCTCCACAGCACCCCTTTCTGGCCCACAGCTCTGCCTTTATTGCCCCAGATTCATGACTGCCTCCCTCTGTCCTTATTTTGGGAGTCAATCGAGAAGCATACATTCTCCCCCATTTGTGATAGTCTTATCTCACAGCACCCTCCATGGCAAGACTCAGCCTTGCAACTACTCTGCCACACTCTCCTCCTTGGGACTTGCATGGTCTGCGATGGTGAGTTGGCCCTCTTGCCAGGTCACTCTAACTAAAGTCTCACCCCTTCTAAGGTACCCAAAGTCCAAATTAAGTGCATACAAATGTAAATTCTTCTGAGCTCAGTCCTTGAGAAACTCTTCACTGCCTCCTGGGCTCTGCAGAGCGCTTTCCCAGGGCTTTCTCCCTAGGTGGCTAGTTCCTGCCATGCCACTGACCTTCAGATCTTCTCCCTGGGAGTCCATTTCTTAGACTGAGTCTCTCCAAGCTGGGTCTGACCTTGTCCCTGGTTTACCCCCAGGCTGTCTGTCTGTAGTGTTGGTCTTCTCCCAAGCCTGCTTCAAGAGTGACCTTTGCCCCTGCTACACTCTCACCTCAGGGCCAGTCCCAGGATATAAGCCTCCTCTCCCAGCTCCTCCATGGTTCCTTTCCCAAAAAGAGAGAGCAGAAACTCCAAAACTACCTCTCTCCTGGGTTGGTTCCTCATCCGCCTTAGGATCTCTCTGGTAAGTTCCACTCCTCCCATCCCAAGCACGCCCTCTCCAGGTGTAAGCAATAGGCCTCCTCAAATGCTCCAGCTGTTCATGAAAACCTTTTCAGCCTCTAACTCCACAGTAAGGCATTTACATAACAATGATCTGAATTTCAAAGGTGCTGTGCACCTGCAGCTCCCCATTGCTTTCGGGGCTGAGTGTGTGGCAGCACTCAGCACGTCTGTAAATCAGGCCTCTTGTACTGAAGAGCTTAAATAGGGATTTAGAAGCCTAAATTTTAGGCATCCAGGTTTCAATATTTTAGTCCATACTAGAGCGGATTTGAAAATTTGGGGGAGGGGGTTCTTGCAGTAAGTGGGGGGTGGGGGGAGGTTGGCAGAAATTCAAATACCAAACAATTTCATCCTTTCATAGCCTTCTGTGACCCTCATAACTGATACAGTGCCATTTATCTGACATGGAAAAGACATGAGATCTCTGGGAAGTTAACATAAAAGAACCCCACTCACATTAAATTATTTATTGGTGAAAAACACAATCCTAAACCTCCTGATTCCTTTTTCTAGGAGACTATTTCTGCTCTGACTCCTACTTTACATTGGTGTAACCCCACTGACCTCAGTGTAGCTATTCCTGATTTACAGAATGGTCTTGTGCATAGCACACTGGATAGGGACACATAGAAGATCTGGGTTCTAACCCACACACTGCCTCTGGCCTGTTGGGCGACCACGGACAGTCACTCACCCTCTGTGACTCAGTTTCCCCCCTCTGTAAAATGGGAATAAAGATACTGACCTTTGTAAAATGTTTTGAGCTCTGCTGATGCAAAGTACTCTATAAGAGCTAATTGTTATTATTTATACCCATGTGAACCAGATCAGTGTCAGTCATAGGTTTGTCCTTCTATTTTCATTTTCTAGATAAGCTCTGGGCCCACAAAACATCATTTCTCTATCAGTCATTTGAATGACTATATTTAAAACAGGGAACTTCCCCTTTCAAGCTGTGACTATGATTTCACCATGCTAAGCCTGAGAGGTTTATCAAACTTTTTTTCTTTTTCTGCCTTTACCATTTAGTTAATTTCCAGCAGACTGTTTCAGTTTATGTTGGTTTTGCTTTCATTAAGAGAAGATACCACAAGATCATCTGAGTTTAGAAGCCATCTAATGCCTTAATGGCTTGCCATATATATTGGTTGATTTTGATGGGGCTTTTCTGTGTTAGCTGCGAAGTATCTGAGCCTATAGATACGATGTGCACTGAGGTGAGTGATAGTTATTTCTTTCTCTTGAGGCAAGGGTGTAGTATACATAGAGAATCAATAATGAATCTTTGGTGATTATTTGCATGCTAACATCTGATCGTTTTGAAGTGCAGGAGGATTTGTTGGGGGGTGGGGGGGGTATCTGTAAACCTTGGACTGGGAAAGTAAGGCAGGCCTTTTCAGATACACTCCATGATACTGCCCAGGCACTAATATGGCCCTTTTATATGGGATCCTTCTGTATCTGCCAGAAACTGACAGTGTTTTATACATTTCATAATGCTTTGGGCATATTGAAATCTCACATGCATGTCTACAGCAAGACATCAGAGCTGAAAAAAGAACAGGTTATAAGGGGTTTCTTTCCTGTCATTTTTGTCCAAGAATTTGTATACACCAGTACAAATGGGCAAGACAGTGATTCTCTTTCATGTAGTGGATAATTGTAGCTGAACAGATATAAGATTCCACACCAGAGCAATAATATAAGGAAATACCAGGCACTCCTTAGTTCTTTTTGTCTGGTCTGATTCGTTTTTAATTAAAAGGGCAGGGGAAGAAGGCGGGGAGGAAGAATGAAGGCAAGATGCTTCTCAGGGTTCTTTTGGTTGGGGAGGGAGGGGTGTTAGAGACTCATAGGAATTGCCTTCGTATTTTATGTGCCACAGAGGCCTATAATAGATTCTTTGCTTTAGTGAAGTTGTGCAACTCCCATAATCCTCCTAATTGTGCAAAACTGTACCATGAGGGAATTTCTTCCTCTGCTCCATCTGGAGACCAGTTTCTGCCCTGAAGCGGGAGGGCTGATGGCTCCTGTAATTTTATTTGAAAGGGCATAATGCAGGCAATCTTCTCAATTACATCAGCAGCTAAACCTTTCTTTTCTTTCTTAAATCTTACTCAGCCATTTTCCCCAATAACAAACTATGGCTGCAACTTCTACAGGTTAATTATAAAGTGCGTAAAAGCAGTGTTTTTCTCTCATCAGTTTGGAATGTACTGGTTTTTCTTAGGTCTGTATTTGACATTTCCCTAAAGTGATCGTCTAGGAACTTCTAAATTAGAACTGTCTCTTGTTATTTAATTCGGGGATAGAGCACATGGGAGCTACTCATTTGCTGTCACTCTATGGTTATTTTATATACTTCTTTATATTTCCTGTTATTCATAACTCCTGTTTGTGGTTCTACTGTCTGTATTTGTATTACTTGCAAAATTCCTACTGAGTGAAGAAAATTTTGAGTGACCTAGGAATAATTGGAGCCTCTACTTGTAAAGAAATGGAATTATTTTGTTACAAGTCAGTTTGCATCAGTAGCTTTCTGTGAGCACGCCCTGTCGGCCACCCACTGGGACTGCTCTGGGGGGAATACAAGCCTTTCTGCACTGGATCTCCTGGGGTGTGTTAAGCTTTTAGTGCCCAGGCAATGTGGCAGAGAGGCCAAGGGAGGAACCAGTGCTGTAACCTACCAAGGCTCAGGCTATTACCCTTTCTCAGAAATGGGGCTCCTCAGCCCACCCGCCCTAGAGGCCCCCAGGACCAGCACTGACTCCCAAGATACCCCAGTTACTCAAACACACCCCTCTCCCGGAACTCCACCCTGATGGTGCATAGCTTCCGGTCTTCAGCTTACCGCTCTCAGGGGCATGCAGTAGTTGTGCAGTGGTTAACATACAGAGACACGCTTTGTTCAGAGTCTGTCACCTCTATGCCCTTTTACACTTACGTAAAGCACAGGAGAGTACAGATCATACAAAACAATAAGCACTCAATGCGTGTCCCTGTCCAGTGGTGCTGGACCTAGGAGTGATGGGGGTGCAGCCACACCCCCTGGCTTGAAGTAGTAAAAACTAACATCAAATATATGGTTTCCATTAGCAGCACCACTACCACTCTACAAATTGTTCCAGCACCCCTGGCCCTGCCTCGGTTTCCTCACCACTCTAGGACATTCTTTAGGCTGGGGTCCAAGTCTCTTCGGTCGTCCAGAGTCCCTGGGGCCATATGGGCTCAGGAAAGCAGGCAGGGTCCCCCAGCCCCATGAGGCTGCTATCTTGCTGGGTGACCTCTTCCTCCTGAAGGCCCTCACCCAACTTCTATGATTTTGTCTCTCCTGCCTCATGTTTCCTTTTCCTGTCTGCCCTCCTCATCTGTGGGTTTCTTCATCTAAACTGCTGCTGGTCACCTGGTCTTTTTTGTTCTACTCCTGGTAACTTTCTACTGCGCCTACCTTCTCTGGTCCCTTCAGACAAAACAGTGAAACTTTTCCCCCCCTAATGATTTCTTTATTAGCATAAGCTTGGTGCGGTCTAAGTATCATTGTTAACCATAAGTATTTCCCATTGTCCCAGCCTGGTGTGTATCTGCTATAGGTCTAGTTAGTAATGGTGGATGCATGTTCATATAGGCACAGAAGGATGCAGCAGTTTTTCATAATATAACTTCACATCATCAATCAGAATTCATAAATGGTCCAGACATAGCCCAAATTCATCACACCTTCCCATTATGTGCTGCAGGCATCTATTTGCGATAAGGACAGGTCTACACTAGGAACTTGTATTGGTATAGCTACATCTCTCGGGGCTATGAAAAATCCGCCCCCGAGAGACATAGTTATACCAACCTAACTCCCGGTATAGACAGCTCTAGGTCGACAGAAGAATTCTTCCAGCAGCTTAGCTACTGCTTCTTAGGGAGGTGGATTGCCTGCACCAGTGATGGGTGAACCCCTCCTGTCGGCGTAGGTAGTATTTACACTGAAGTGCTGAGGTGGCACAGCTGTGCAGCTGTAGCATTTTAGGTGTAGACGTTCCCTGGAATAATCCAGTAATCATTTTGGTTGTACATTGAGGCACTGCTCTTTTCAACACAAAATGATTTAAATAACGCTTCTCCTAGTTAGTAAGCCAGGAACATTAAGAAATCTTGTGGTCTGACTGGCACATTTTGGAACCATTGCTAGTAGGGCGTATTGAGATGTGGTTAAGTAAACAAAAATAGCTCCACCTCAGAGCCTCCTGCCAGGATCTCGTAGTGGCTGCTAACCAGTCAAATCAAGATTTCCCAACATAGGGCAAGCTCCTCACCCCTTCTCAGTCTTCTTGGCAAAGTGGCATAAAGGAAATCTCAAATTCCAGGATCTGGCTGGGGCAGGATTCCCCCACTGCAGGAACAGGGAAAGAGTCCCTCGCAAACGCTGGTTTTGTGGGCAGAAAGCAGCATAGTTGGGGGCATGGAGGACATGTTTAAGTCAGGACTGCAGCAAGCAGTGCTGCATCCCATAAGGCAATGAACGGAGGCTGCTGTAACTTTGACACTCCCTCGGGACTGCATAATTTAAGCCAGGAGTCCCAGAGCAGCCCAGGATCAGGAGGGCACCATAGGCACCGACGCCATGGGTGCTCCAGGGCTGGAGCACCCACCAACAGTCCCCCTATCAGCTCCCCCCATCCACTCCCAGGAGTTCCCGCCTGCCGGCAGGCCCAGCACATCAGCACCTCCCCCCTCCCTCCCAGAATCTCCCACCCGCCGCAAACAGCTGTTTCCTGGTGTGCAGGAGGCTGGGGGAGGGAAGGGGAAGGAGTGAGGATGCGGCGCTTGGGGGAGGGGTGGAGTGGGGGCGGGAAAAGAATCGGGAGTTGAGCACCATCCGGCACTTTGAAAAGTTGGTGCCTGTGGAGGGCACCTTAGGCTCTGTCTACACTACCGCGGTAAGTCGACCTATGCTATGCAACACTAGCTACTTGAATAACGTAGCTGGAGTCGATGTACCTGAGGTTGAGTTACTGCGGGGTCTACACTGTGGGGGGGTCAATGGGAGAAACTCTATCGTCAACTTCCCTTACTTTTCTCGTTGGGGGTAGAGCACAGGGGTTGACTGGAGAGTGATCTGCTGTTGATTTGACCAGTCTTTACTAGACCTGCTAAATCATCTGCCGATGGATTGATCTCAGAGTGTCGGTCCAGGCTGTAGTGTAAACATAGTCTTAGTTTTTCCTCAGTTAGGAGTTCTGTGCTGCACCTCTTAGAGACTTGTCCACTTGGGCTGGCCCAGATGTTTTGTCACCCTAGCAGAAAAATTTTTGGCACTCCCCATGCAGCTACATAAAAGGCACAAGCAAAACACACACACACCCCCCAAAAAAACCCAACCACCCCAAAAATGAGGATTTTTGGAACACTGAACGTTGGTGCCCTAAGTGACCACCTGATCACCCAGCCACCCCTGTTGCCCCTAGTTTCATAATCAAATGCAATGAAAAAAAGTGTTAGTTTAGTTCTCCATTTGGCAAAGTTGTGAAATTCTCAGCAATGCTGCATAGCAATACAATAGTCCATAGTTTATTAGAGGACACCATTAAAATTATTCACATCCCGATAGCTAATGCAAGGTGAAGGCCACACGCTTCTTGCATCACCCATCTATGGGATGATCGAAAACCAGTAATGGTTTATAAATGGAAGTGTGTAGATTATCAGCTACTAATAGACTGATACCTGCTCTTAAATCTGGCTGGCTTCTCTTGGAATCTGGTTGTTGCATTAACAATAGTTTCCAATGAACACATTACTGTCCAATAATAGAAATTCTCTATTAAAGAACAGAATAGGGTTGGTCCAAATATTTTTATATCCAAAATTTCAATGAAAAACCAGGAAAAAATTAAAGCGTTCACAACTTTTTTTCTTTCTTTTTTGGACCAGCACTTGTACAGATCTGTTCTTTCAAAGCTTAGCTGTGTTTTCTGTAGCGAGTTGAGAGTTATTTTATTTAAGACTTTAGACAATGCCAGTTATATTTAATCTCAGCATTTGAGAATCTGTAGAGTAGGCTGGGAAATCTTCAAAGGATTTCTTCTCTCCTTGGAGCTAATTTCAGCAGTAATTAAGAGTCTTTGAGGAGACAACATAGTCTTTTTCTGAAGGTTCCTTTAAGAAAGAAGGCCTGGTCTTACTTAAAGGAAGGCTTGAAGTCCTCTGGTGAGTGGCTGCCTCTTCCCTGCACTCTCATTCCATTGGTTCTGATGGGCAGACATTCCTTAGGCATTGATTCCACTGCACTTGTGAATGTCAGCCTGTTTGCTTAGGCAGCGATCATGGGTTTGAAGCCTGAAATAAAGATGGACTTTTCATGCACCTGTTTTTCACACAGTGACGCCGATCAGCCTACTGAGGACTGTGCCTGAGCGTGCATAACGCCCTTGTGTTTTGATTGACAATATAGTCCCCTATGAAGTCAGAGGCAGGTCTGGTATATTAATGAATCCCTCTGTTTTAACTTTGGAGGGGTGAATATATTTGCATAAGAGACAGATTATTCCATTTCCAAGACTGAAAAGTCTTTAAAAGAATTTAAAAATCTCAGTTTCTCAGATACTAATTTTTGTCTAGTTTCAGCTAAATGTGCTTAGCAGGCCCTTGCTGAGAGTATAAACACAGCTCAGCTCCTTTTTTATTTGAGCAGACATTTTCTGTTATAAAACAGTATTTTAGCACTCTGAGCCAAGCTCTCTTTGCAAGATCTTCATAACTCCCTGGGACTTATTTTACAGTGAGCCTTGTTACAAAACCCACAGATTATTTATTGGGGATTAATAATTTATACTGTCCTACATATTTTAATTGGTTAATGAAATACAGAATGATGTGCACTTAATATTAGCATAAAAGATCCAAGCCTGTGGTTTAAAAACTGCATTCCACGAAGTCCCAGGATTGCATATTTCAGGTTGATATTAAGAGTTCAAAAAACACTCTCATATGTTGCCAATAGGCTCCTGTTAGGCTTTCCTGCTGCTGATCCGCAGCACTCCCACCTCCATCCTTGCAGAATCCAGTTTGGGTTTTTTTAATTGAACTCAGTTTCCTCACCATTAGGCATCTGGGTCATAATAGCTCTTTCTCCACTCACTTCACTGCTATCCAGACGTTTAATCTTTAAGGGGGGATTGTTTGTTTCTAAATACAATGCTACATTAGGTTTTTGAATTGTTCTAATTCAAGATTTTGGAATACAGTGGAATGTGATCAGGTATTGTAAGTGCTATAAGATATGTTTTGACTGTTATGTTTTTAAATGATTTATTTCTAAGGCAGCTACTTGGTAGAATGTGCAAGTCAGAGCTTCGTGTTTACGTTCACAGTATGCCTATATTGGTGTATTTAATAATAAATATATAATTTCCACAGGTTATAGCCAACAAAAGCTATAGCTGTGAAGATTTAGGACTGAGAGAGATTCCTGAAAGACTCCCAGCCACAACAGAAATCCTTGACTTCAGCTTTAACTTGCTTTCTTCCCTTCACAATTCAACCTTCAGCAAACTAAAGAATCTGGTATATTTAGACTTAACAAGGTACTGGAAATCTTTGTCACTTCCACTGATCACACAACTCATAACTTATTTTGAATTTGCCATTGCTTATATGCCATTGTTTCAACCTTTTGCAATACCAATAAAGAACTGAAGGCTTCCATAGCATACCATGGCAACCATCTTCACAGCAGAACCTTCAGAGACTCTTGCAGATAACTGTTGCATTGTCTTGCCAATTAAGAATGCCTAGATATTTGGAAATAGCGTTTGTTTGGGCTCTCTCCTGTTAAGGCTTGGAGTCACTGGACCATTTGCAGGACAATGGGTGAAACCCTCACACCCTATTATTTATGTTAGCACCAACAAATTTGCTGTAGGAAACATCTCATCTGCTTTTCCATGAAAATATCATTCATGGAATGTGGGGAGAAGGAGATTCTAGCCTTGTAAGAAGTGCCCTTATTATAGGGATAAGATTTTGATTGTGTTGATTAGGGAAGGCAATGGGAAAACCCCCCCTTACTTATCATGTCTCTGTGTGACTTTCATGAACAACGTCACAGTCGGGACCTCCACACCCGATCAGCCCTAGACAGTTTTCACTTCCCATTATGTCATCTTCTTATCTGAGTTTAAAACATAGGGGCTTCTGAATATCAGCTATGTGCCACAAGCAAAGAAAATAATAGCTTTTAACTCAAAGAAGACCATAGTTCATTGGGTTTTCTTTGTACATGAGATTGCATTTCGATTGTTGTTTTTAAATGACCATGTAACAGTGGGAAAATTTCATCAGATTGATTTATTACTAACGTCATTGGATTATTGTGTTCTTTTCAAGGTGTCAAATTAACTGGGTGTACGAAGGTGCCTTTCAAAGCAACACTCATCTGAACATTATTGTCTTGACTGGAAATCTACTCATGTTTCTGGCTGACACAGCATTTGTTGGCCCACAGTCTCTGAAGCATCTTGTCTTAACTGAGACAGGTCTAACCAGTTTAGCATTTATTCCAATGCAGAATCTGGATAATTTAGAGACTTTTGACTTGGGCAGCAATCACATCTCCTCACTGCAGCTCCCTCCAAGCTTTCCAACCAGAAACCTCAAATACCTTGATTTTCAAATGAACAACATACAAAGAATAGCAGCAAAAGACATAGATATTCTGCTGCAGACAAAGAATTTAACTCTTATCTTGAAGGGAAATGATATTATGCACATTGAAGCTGGGGCATTCCAGTCCAACTTATTTTACAGCTTGGACTTTGGAGGTTGCGTTGACATTTCTGTGGTTTTAGCAGGGATGCAGGATACCAAAACCCATACTCTTTGGTTGGGGTCATTTGAGGATGTAGAAAATGGGCTTCCCATAAACCCTACTATGCTACAGAACCTGTGCAATATCTCTGTGGTGGATATCAATCTGCAAAAGCGGCATTTCCTTCACCTGACTGCTGCCACATTTCAGTGTTTGAGCAAACTCCAAAGGCTGGATCTGACTCACACCTATATCAGCATGTTACCTCCTGACATCAGCGGCATGAACATGTTGGAAGAATTAATTCTCAATAGGAACGCCTTTAAGCACATTTGCAACATTAGCTCCACTGCTTTCTCCTCCCTCACCCACCTCCATATCAGAGAAAATGCTGAGAATCTGGACTTAGGCTCCGGCTGTTTAGAAACACTGTCAAAGCTTCAACACCTGGATTTAAGCCACAGTTACATAGAAAATGGAGACTGCTGCAGCAAGCAGCTAAAAGGCCTGATCGGATTACAACACCTGAATCTGAGCTACAACAAGCAGCTTCAGCTCCAAGATTTGGCCTTTAAGGAAGGTGCGAACCTGGAGCTCCTGGATTTAGCTTTTACACGTCTTCACATCAATGCTTCCCAGGGTCCTTTCCGCAATCTGCATCTCTTGCGTGTCCTGAACCTTTCTTACTCCTATATTGATACCAACATTCAGCACCTTTTACAGGGGCTGCAAAACCTTTTCCTGTTGAACCTTAGGGGGAATAAGTTTCCATCAGGGACCATTCTGAATGACAATCTCTTTCACCAGGTATCCAGTTTAGAGGTGTTAATTTTATCATTCTGTGATCTGACAGCTATACAAAACCAAGCATTTTACACCCTCAAGAAGCTAAAGCAGGTTGACCTGAGCCACAACAAGCTTATTGCATTCAGCACAAATGCATTTTCCAATCTCAAGAGCATCTATCTCAATTTTGCCAATAATAGGATCCATATTATACCACGTGACATGTTAACTAACTTATCTGACCAGAGTATAATCAATTTAAGTTACAATCCACTGGAATGCACCTGCTCTAATATTGGTTTAATAACTTGGTACAAGCAGAATATGGATAAAATTGAAGACTCTGAAGGGACAGTGTGTTGTGAGCCCAAATCTCTAGCAGGTACTAAGCTGTCCACTGTAACATTGTCCTGTGGGATCAGTGTTACAGGAATTGTTTGTGCTGTGCTGGTTTTAATATTGCTTGTTGCTGTTATCTTGGTTTGGATCACCCGCTTTTTAAAGAGACATTACCAACAACTCTAAGTGAAGGATGGCTCCACCAGTGTCATTTTAAAAGAAAGGACAGTGAGTAGACAAATTCTGAAGAAAAGGTCATTTTCCCTACTTGTTGCTTTGTTCCTGGGCAATATTCCTTTTAATATTAGTATTACACGCCCCATTCTCATTTGTAGCAACTGATTAAAGAAAAATTACTATGAAAAAACAAACCAGGGCCAGAACTTGTGAAGAGCTTTAGCCACACAAGTAACATATTAGGGTCCTGATCTATGACAAGGGCTCCTAGGCTCTCAGGTAATACAAATAATAATAGTTAGTCCCATTGAAGTCTGTCACTAGCCCTCAACTATAAGCTTGTCCTGGGGCCTCAGGCAGCTGAGTGGGCTAAGGGAATGTCACCGAGGAGGAAAGGGGTGAGAAATGAAGTGGGAATACCGGTTCCCCCAAATGAATAGGCTGCTCTGAAGTCAGAATTTAGACACCAGTGCTGTCTGAATGGCTTAGGCAATAGCACGGCTGGTCCTGCACACATGGTTGCTCTAAAAGAAAATTAGACTGGCCTCTTTCCTGATCATTGTTCACTGAATCACTGGGTGTAGGTGAAATGCAGGGCCTTATTTCTTGCCCTCAAAAGTGTGTGTGTTTGTGGGGGGGGGAGAGGGGCGCAAGGGTTTGTGAGGAACCAGAGGCAGCTTGTGGGGGAATCAGGGCAATCTGAGGAACTTTGCAGTCACTGGCCAGAAGGGAACCTCTTATCAGGGAATATCTAGACGCAGTAGTTCGTGTCTTCTCTACTAGCCTGTCACCCACATCTCTTCCATATTAACCCCTTCTCCTCCCTTAGCTCCTGTCCACTTCCTTTCCCACCAGTAGCCCCTCACCTTTTCCTCAATAACTCCTGTCACCCCTTTCTACCTCTTGCCCCACCATTTCTCCCCAGTAGTTCTTGGTATCCCCATCAGAGCTCAAACCTCCTGCTGGGGCACTGACCCTGCTGCAGGCAGCTCCTCCTCTCTGCTGGGCCTGGAAAAGCAGGAGGAATCGAGCAGGCAGAGAGGCTGCAGGAACATGAGAGGGGGGCCAGTGTGGGGGTGTATGTGTCACAGGAGCCGTATGCATTTTGCAGCATTGAACATGCTGTGATGATTTAATGAGAAAATATTGTTTATTTTCTCCATATACTAATTGTGGGGCATTTGTAACAGCGGTCGTGACAATGACAATACCCCTTCACAGCTGGGCTTGTACAGGGGAAATAACTGAGCCAACAATGCAGCTGTGATCTGTGAAATGCAGTAATGATGACAGCCAGGGCCAAGCATTTCCTGGAAGTTGATGGCCAGCTGTTTTCAATTCCTCCAATGCCAGGAAGTGCCCAAAGCTGGAGGTCCTCACTGTTCAAATGAGTTACTCTCCTCAGAGCAGAGAAGTCCTGTGGATCCTTGTCTGTAATGTCCTTTACTGAGGGGCTAGAGAGAACTCAGTCACTCACAGGTTAATTTTTCAGCCCAGCTTCCCACTTCTCAGCTCCTGCTTCCACTCCCCAGGCAAGCAGCACCTTTCCCTCTCCCTCTTAGGGCGGACCAGGGAGAGCTAAGCATGTTCTCTTGTGGCTCACAGCCCGCACAACTTCCCTGCTTCTGGCATGTTGCAGGTTCTCCCAATGCAACCTGCCTCCCATCTACTGGTTCATGGACTGAGGGAGGGGCCAGGAACATGCAGCAAAAAGAGATGGGTCATGTCAAAAGGTCAGGACAAGTGAAGAGGGAGGGAGATTCCTGTGTGGGGACCATCTCCACCAAAACCTCACCTTGCCATTCAAGCAGCCAGAAATTCTCCTTTCTCCCCAGGACCACTCCTCAGCTGAATGATCACAGATATCAGTCGCACTTACATAGCACCTTTTGTCAGAGGAACTCAGAGCACTTTGCGAAGTTGGGTTAGTCTCACTTCCCCTTGACAGATGCATGAACAGAGGCAGAGAGGTTAAGTAACTGGCCTCAGGTCACATAATGTGTCAGTGGCAGAGGTGAGGAAAGTATCCAGATACCATCAATCCCAGTTTTTCTTCTCAGTTTTGATTTCAATGCTCTGCAGTGCACTATTGTAGTGGCATGGGCAGTGGGATGGGATAGTTGCTCAAGTACCCAGGGTCCAGAGTAGGATTGTATTCAGAGCTGCTAGCCTCTCCTGCTTCCTGCACCATTGAGGCTACTCTGCTATTTTTAGTGCACTAGCTTGATCAAAGCTGATGCACATATGTCTACCGAGCTGGAATTTACACCTCCAACTCAAGTGTAGACATGGCCACAGAAAGAATGACAAACTAGCACACAAGAAAGGAAGACCTTAGGGAATAAAAGATGATATTCAGTCCAGGATCATGAATGTGTGTTTGCAACTCTTGATATATTAAAATACCCTCCAAATATTGCAGGCATTTTACCTATTTTTCCAATGTATTAGTAAATTTGCCATTTTTTTTTTTTTATAAATTCTATTGGGTACCTAACTTCAAAATGTGTTTTCTACATTGCAAAAAGATGCATGCTAGGTTAATAAGTAAAAGGATTTTTTGGGGACAGGGGAGGGACATGCATGGATCCAATCTGTGGTATGTAACCTATCATTTAAATCAGCTTCTGTACAGATGACTGGAGGATAGCTAATGTGATGCCAATTTTTTAAAAAGGTTCCAGAAGTGATCCCAGCAAATACAGATGTGTAAGCCTAACTTCAGTACCAGGCAAATTGGCTGAAACTATAGTAAAGAACAGAATTATCGGACACATAGATTAACATGATTTGTTGGGGAAGAGTAAATATGGCTTTTGTAAAGAGAAATCATACCTCACCAATCTATTAGAATTTTTTAAGGGGTCAACAAACATATGGACAAGGGTGATACAGCGTACCTGGACTTTCAGAAAGCCTTTGACAAGGTCCCTCACCAAAGGCTCTTAAGTAAAGTAAGCAGTCATAGGATAAGAGGGAAGGTTCTCTCATGGATTTGTAACTGGTTAAAAGACAGGAAACAAAGGGTAGGAATACATGGCCAGTTTTCAGAATGGAGAGAGTTAAATAGTGGTGTAGCCTGAGGTCTGTACTGGACCCAGTCCTATTCAACATATTCATAAATGATCTGGAAAAAGGGGTAAAACAGTGAGACAGCAACATTTGCAGACAATACAAAATTACTCAAGATAGTTAAGCCCAAAACTGACTACGAAGAGTTATAAAGGGAGCTCACAAAACTAGGTGACTGGGCAACAAAATGGCAGATGAAATTCAATGTTGATAAATGCAAAGTAATGCACATTAGAAAACAGAATCCCAGCTATACATATAAAACGACGGGGTCTAAATTAGCTGTTACCACTCAAGAAAGATCTTGGAGTCATTGTGGATAGTTCTCTGAAAACATCCACTCAATGTGAAGCAGCAGTCAAAAAAGCTAATAGTATGTTAGGAATCATTAGAAAAGGGATAAAAAGACAGAAAATATCATAATGCCTCCATATAAATCCAGGGGATGGATCACTTGATGATTGCCTGTTCTGTTCATTCTCTCTGAAGCACCTGGTGTTGGCCACTGTCGGTAGACAGGAAACTGGGCTAGATGGACCATTGGTCTGACCCAGTATGGCCATTGTTATGTTCAAACACCCTCTGCTCCTGACAGACTTGGACATGAAAGTCTGCAAGGACTCTGGGTCTCCCCTATTTTCTGAACAAATCTTTGGTCCTTGGTTCTCATCTCTTTGATCCATTTTGCCATTTGGACTCCTCTGTTGTCTCAGGAATATGCCTTGCAATTGGTCTATATATTTGGCCTACCTGGTCAGCACCACCCCTTGTTAACAGGGAGTATGAACTACTCTGGCTTCAAAACAAGGCCTGAAAGCCCAATCACATGCTCCACAGAAACAGAACTAAACAGAACGTTAAAATGCCAGACCTGCCCCAGGGCCTGAAAGCAGAATCCTCACAGGGTTGCAGCTACAGATATCATTTAAGAAGGCAGAGAATATTTTATCACATCTAATTATATTTCTCTTGATTTAAAAGGGAAGATGGCTGTATTCTTATTCACACGATTATTGCCTTTTGGTGGGGTTGGCTTTTATGGAGCGTTGATCTCTGAAAAAATATAGAGAATTAATTAGTAAATGAATATATAAATACATCATAATATTGAGAAGTCAGACTAAGCCTTGGAAGGATTTATAATTAACTTAAATTGTAAATGGGGAGTGGCTGGACTAACGTTCCACTAAAGCCATATCACCACTTCAGTTTTCTCCAACCTTAGTATCTGAATGTTCATAGAATCATAGAATAACAGAGTTGGAAGGGATCTCTGGAGGCCATCTAGTCCAACCCCCTGCCCAGAGCAGGACCAATCCCAACTAAATCATCCCAGCCAGGGCTTTGTCAAACCTGACCTTAAAAACTTCTTAGTCCAGATGCTGGATGGGCGGAGATCAGTGTTGTTGGCAGCCTTTGTGTCAGCTGTGCTGGTAAATGCCAACAATTTCCCTTTGTGGAAGTGCAGAAAAGGAAACTAAAGGATGTAAGCAAAATGAGATGAGATGCCTAGTAGGTTCATGTGCATTCAGATACCCTGAATGCTCATGGAGCTGATGGCTATTTCATAGTGGGACTGGGGTCTGTACTTCTAGTGCATGGCCTTTTCTAGTGAGCTCTGCAAAGTTCAGAAAAGACTTAGCATTACTTAATAGTGTTGAATTAGGGAGTTTCTGCTTTACTTTATCACAGGTTACTAAATCCAAACAGCAATAGTTAGGAGTTAATATTTATACTTGGCCCAAAGCCTGACAAGTACTAGGTGTGTCTATTAGTGGCTAGAATGCAAGTTTTTGCACCAGTGCTTCCATAACAACTCAACCCTGTTGCAAAGAGCCAATCCCCTCTAAAGCTGTGCACTGTTCTCTTTCCACAGAAATGTATATACACTGTATGGAACAAAGGCTCTCAGTTGTGATGAATGGAATGTTGCATTTACTCTATGCATGGGAGCTGAGTTCTTCTTTGAACACTCTATACAGTTCAACTTCAGCTATTATCCCAGAGGCTTTTCCTTGAATGTTCTCCCTATAAAGTCTAAGACAGTTAATGTATTGAAGATCACCACTGAGTTGGAAAGTTTCCACTCCATTCGCGAGACTTACAAGATAGAAGAGAAAACATTGATAATATTTCTCTCCCTTTTGTAGCAGGTACCAAGTTTGGCTCGTGTAAGTCTACAAAATGGAGATTCTTGTAGCTCTTTAAAATGTCTGCACTTCACGTATACAGATTGACCTACAACTTCCCTCACATATTATACAGCCCCCAACCTATTTAACTTAGATAAACAATTATCTGACGGCATCCCTATTTTAAACAGGAAAGCCACGTTGAAAATTGCACAGTAGGCAATTTTTGATGTCTGCTGTCCATTTCACAGCTGTGTATATCACTGCCATATCTTGGTTATGATAACATAGCATGTCCACACACTAATGTCAATTGTTTTTATACATTACAAGTTGTTGCTGTCAGAGGCAAGCTATCCAATGTAAAAATGACCCAGTGAGCTGACCCTGTCATGCATATGGTATTTGTATAGACAGAAACAGCAGAACAGGCAGCCTCCATCAAAACGATGCTTGCACCCAGAGTGATCTAAGACAGGAAAAATGTCTTGGGGCAAACCATGTCTATGCAAAGCCCCCTTTAACACTGGATTGGGTATTTGCCTGGTCTGCAAATAATTCTTTGCAGTGTGGTTGGAGCCAGGACCTGAGGAAGAGCTCTGTGTAAGATCGAAAGCTTGTCTCTTTACCAACAGAAGTTGGTCCAATAAAAGATATTACCTCACCCCCGCCCCCTATTTGAAAAATAATTGCTCAATTGACCGGACAAACATTGGTCAATAATGTCAAAAATGGTCAAATATTGTACAGCACTGGTTTATTAGAAGAGTAAGAGTAAGACTTTATGGTTGCCAGTAGGCTTAGCCTTAGATAGATACTTGTGGCTAATTACAACAAACATTTAACTGAGTAATTTAAACTCACAATAATGGAAACACAATGAAATGAAGTGCTAGAAAAATGAAAGAAGCATGATGCAACCAAAAAGGGAGGCCGCCAGCTACAGCAGGGCATTCTTGCTGGAATATTGAACAATATTTAACAGTGGCCAAATAATAGGTGGTCAATTTACATGATTTGACTGACTTGTCAAGCCTACATCAGCATATCTTTGAGAACAGTGCAAAGCGAGCTACATAAAACCCAGAAACTGCTGAACTTTCACTAGCTGATTCAAGGCACATCTTCCAAAACAGAATTGGTTCAATACAGTAAGCTCTGCAATTATTTATTTGTATTACCATAGTGCCTAGGAGCCCCAGTCATGGACCACTATGTTAGGGGCTGTATAAACACAGAACACAATGATGGTCCCTGCTCCAAAGACCTTACAATCCAAGTCTAAGACAAGAGTTAACAGTTACAAATAGGGGAGTGAAAGGAAGATGACGACAGTACTGGCCAGCACGACAGGCAGCGGTCTTAGCATATCAGCCGCCTAACCGTTGTCACATTTTTTGAAGTCATCACAGCAAAGAAGAATTTTAAGGAGGGATTTGAAGGAGGACAATGAGAAAACATTGTGCATGTTTATGGGGGCGCAGCAGGAGAAAACATGAAGGTGCCTGCTTGAAAATGTAAGTGGAAAGAAAGATGCATCTCGAATAATTTATTCTCTACAACAGTTTGCTACAAAAGTGATCTACAAACAGTGGAGTCAAAAGTGAACAGAGCAGCATTACAGCATGTGAAAGCATTGTGCCAAGGTTTCCGAAACATTTCTGCTGACATACCTCAGTTGTCAAACTGCAGCTCGGCAAGTATCAACTACTCACCCTGCCTGGGACCCAAAACTGTAGCATCAGCACTCTTATTCCAGCATGCATCACCGTGCCTTCTGCAACACCGCCTCACCTTGAAAGAGGAACTTTAGGCTCAAACCTTGCTCAGCTCCCAGAGACAAAATCTCCAATGTGATCCCCTTTGTAGCTGCAGAAACCCGACCCAGTCTCCTAGGGCCATGAGCAGAGCTAAATTTCAACCACTTACAAGTCAGCTAAGAAACAAAAAGTCAGCAAAGAAGGTAAAAAACTGAAAATGAGCAAAAATAATTTAACAAGAATTAAGTGTACCAGGATGCTTGGAGGGCCAGGTGACCTAGTGGATGGTGTGCCTGACTTCCAGTCCCTTGTTTCCCTGGGTCAAGGTGTCTCAGTCTTTCAGGCAGTGGGGGGGTAGAGAGACCTAGGATCTCCCACTCCACCGGGTCCCAGCCCAGGACCTTGTGAGAGTCAACAGAAGGGGGGCTGAACAGGGGGCACTGCAAGCAGGGGGAGAGAACGTGCTCCCTGGGGGCTGCCTTGGCTTCTTCCTTTCAGGCAGCTAGCTCCTGCCTCTTCACCAGTCAACCCTGAACTGGCCCAGGCTCTCTCCTTTTCTCCCCACTCCAGGCCTGTGGTTGGCTGCAGGTATAACGAGGTGGGGCTAGCTGGGCCCACAGGCGCTCCTTAACCCCTGCTGAGCTGGCAAGCAATTTCTCCACTTCATCAAATGAACATATTTGCTCTCTCTGGGAGATCTGTGCTTCTCCAAGTACAATACAATACACGTCTCCGCCATGTTACCATCTCACTTCTTTTTTATTTTTATCCCACCTTGGTCTGCTGTCATTTTTGTTTTCTCTTTTATTTAATTTAGAATGTGAACTCTCTGAGCAGGGCCTTTGCTTTTTTATTTGCCTGTCAAGCACCATTCACACCTAGAAGTTACACAAATAATAAAGGTGAACAGCATATGTTGCTCATTACTAGGTATGCAAATCCTAAATATACAGATTGGACTGCCCCTTCTGAAGGAATATTTTTATATGAACGCAATGCAGCACAAAGCACTGATTATATACAGGGAAATTCAAAGTCTAAAGGTTTAGTTTTTTGGGGATTACTTAGTGAGGATATAAATCAACAGAAAGTGACATTGGATTTATCTTTCTTTATAGGATTTATTTTACCCAGTAGAGCTCTGATCTGATGCAGCACTTGGTTTTCAGTCAGATTTTGCTTTTATCTCTTATTTTTTAAACACAGCTGGAGAGCTGACACACAAAGAGATGAAGTGAATTGCCTGAGGTGAATGATGTCTGATGGATTTGAACTCAGGACCATCCTGGCTCCCAGCTCACCGATGTAAACAACATTACAATACAAGTACAAACCTTACAGTGACTTGCAATGTAGTTTTTGAAGTCATTATTTAGATGGGAAATGAACCTAAACTGCTTGTAACTAACAAGTTGAGTTTCTGAGATTAGGGAGTAAATTGTTAGATTTAAAGTAGCAGTTCCCTTTACTCCACATTGAAAAACCAGCAATGCTCAGAGCAAAGTTCTTCCTTCCCCATCTTTGGCTAGGAAAAGGCTGATGCTCTAACCAAACTGCAGACCTCCATGGCAAGATGCAGGCCAATTTCTCGAGTGAATAACTTAAAAATAAAGTGTGTGTGTGTTCATCCCTTTCTTTCCATCACCAAGCTTGTCCATGCCTGGGATTGAACCCACCTTGACCAGTCACACTTCTGATTCTGGGCCGGCCACTCAGACCATGATACTCTCCCATCTGAATCCCTCCACTAGTTTCCTCTGGTCTTCTGATTCAAGTACAAGCTTCATGCCTACACCTTCAAGATGCTATATTACACACCATTGCTACCTGCACTTCTGCCCTTGTTTCTTCCTATTCTTCCCTAGCCCTGCCAGAGCCTCGCCTCCCACCTTGCTGTACCTGTAGCCTTCTCTAGTCATTGTTGTGCTGTCATCTAGGCTCCCTCCTTTAACCTGACCTCTATATTCTGGTGTTACCTATCAGCCTCCCGTCATTCAAATCCCTCAAACACACTTCTGCTGAGCTTATCAATGCAAACGTACCCTCAGCCTGGAAGAAATGCTGTTACGCACCTGTTGAAACATGCAGCGTGCCCTCCTTCTGGTTATCTAGGGCAGATTAGCTGCTCATTTAATCACTGCCAAATTCTCTGCAGCTCCCAGTGTGACATCTGTACAAATTATTTTACTAATTTATTATCTATCATTTGTATATGGGGCTAAGTACCATAGGCGCTGACTCCATGGGTGCTCCAGGTCCGGAAAAAAATTAGTGGGTGCTTAGCACCCACCGGCAGCCAAATCCTCCCCCTTCCCCCAGTGGCTCCGATCCAGTGGTGGCCCCACCGATCAACTCCTACCCCTCCCTCCCAGTGCCTCCCACCCACCACTAAAGAATATAGTGTCCCGCGGTGTGCAGGAGGTGTTGGGGGGGAAGGAGAAGTGGGGGGGTGGTGCACTTGGGGGAGAGGGCAGAACTAGGTGGGAAGAGGCGGGGCAGAGTGGGGGCTTGAGAACCCCAGGGCCTTGAGGAAGCCAGCGCCTGTGCTAAGTACCTGTTTTGAAAACACTGTGTGCATTTGGTGCTGGTGAAAAGCATTGAATAGAGGCTAATTTCCCTTTCACACTTTTCCAGAGCTCCCCTGAGCAGCTGGGAGCAGGTGTGGGGAGTGTGGCACTGCACCCCAATATTCTTCACAGTGATATTATTATATGAGTATGATGTATTTTATGCAAGATAAGTCATGTGAGATGTCATTGGAAAGGTTATGGTTTGTGGAATAGAATTATCCTATTTGTATGCACGTATCATTTTTGTATCCAAAGTTTTCAGTATTTCAAAATGTTGTTACACCTGGGCAACTCCCACTAGGCAAAATGCTCTCAGTCTAGATGGCTGACTGGGAAGGGCCAATTCAGGTTAACGAGCCATTAAAAAGAAACAGGCCTTAGGAGAAGCTTATCTCCCACCTGGGGAGCCTTCCTGAGGCTACAGACAGCCTCTGAGTTATGGCTACTGTGACACTACAGGGACGAGTGACCAGTTCCCCTGGTGCTGAACTCCATCTTGGGATGTCAGTATTTTTCCACTGACTGGCGTGGGAACCAAGATTTGAAACAAAGGGCTCTCACCATGGCTAAAGGGATTTTTAGCCTCTGAATGGAACACCTGGGGATTTCGATGGGTAAGCAAGTGCAGCTTGCCCCTTAAGAATCTGCAGTCTGCTTATATCATCACTTTGGGTGAGAATCTGCTATTCATAATCAATCTATTTAGTATATTAAGATTAGTTTGTGTATTTTTGTTTATTTGCTAGGTAATCTGCTTTGATCTGTTTGCTGTCCCTTATAATAATTTAAAATCTATCTTTTGTAGTTAATAAACTTATTTTTGCTTTATCTAAAACCAGTGCGTGGAAATTATAACTCAGGGAGACAAACCTGTTGCATATTCCTCTCCACATTGAGGGAGGGGGTAAATTTTAAGAGCTTATGCCATACAGTTCCCTGTGCAGCACAGGACGGTATAATTTTGGGTTTACACTGCAGAGGGGGTGCGTGTCTTAGGAATTGGGAGGTGCCCTAGCTGAAGCCTTCCCATGCAGGGACTGGTTAAAGAGCCTGCCTATGTGTGTACTGCAGCTGGGTATGTCCCTACCTGCATGTATGCTGGTGAAAGTGCAGGCTGAAGCCTGCAGGTCTTGTAAGCTTGTCAGAGCAGTACAGTGTAGAAGGGAGCCCAGGCTGCTGGGTCGGGGGGCTCAGTGGTACCCCACTTCCAGGTGGCGCCCTGGGGGAGGAAGGAGAGCCTATAACTCAGGTCACTTCACTTGTGTTGCCAACTCTCATGATTTCTTTTGTGAGCAATAGCCTATGATTCCCACTCTCCTCCCTCCAGCTTCTCATCTGACATTCTACGGACCCCTCCTCCTCTCTGCTAGCTAGGAACGCTGGAGACAATACTGGGAGAGGCAGAGAGCAGCCTACTTGGCAGGTGCAATCACCACCCATGGTGGCGACAAGTCTGACCGGCAACTTCTACCCTTCTGCTTGCTCAGAGTCCAGCATGGCATTTAGTGTAGGTCATGGGTGACCATTCCAATATTAGGGGCTTTGTCTTATATAAGACTATTACACCACAACCCCGATTTTTCAGACTTGCTATCTGGTCATCCAAGGGGTGGCCTACACGTGTGTCAAGCAAGATGCTGGACACTTGGGAGATTTGTCAAAGAGCTGTAGATCAGCAACTGTCTTCCTATGTATTTTGTACAGTCCTCGTTTAACCAATAACTGTATCGCTGTAATGACACTGACACCTGGTTTTGTAGGGGGGAAATAACTGAGGGAACAATGCAGTTTTGACTTGTTAATAGCAGCAATAATGAGGGTCAGGCATTTCCTAACAACTGATGATCAGCTGTGTTCAAGTCATCCCACTGCTAGGTAGTGTCCAAATCTGGAGACTATCACTGTCTCAATGAACCACCCTCCTTGGAGCAATAAAGATCAGTGTACCCTTTTCCGTAATGCCCTTTATTGAGGGGCTGGACAGGACTCAATCACTCCCAGGCTAAGGACTCAGCCCAGCAGGAGCCCCACCCACTTTCCACTTCTCCTACAAACAGTACCCTTCTCTCTCTCTCTCGCCCTAAGGGGCCAGGAATGCTAAGGATGCTCCCGCATGGCTCACAGCCCCCTCAGTCCCTCTACTTCTGTTCTCACTCTCATAGTAAAAGAATCAGGGGACATTCAATGAAATTAAAAGATGGGAAGCTCAATAAACAACACAAGAGAATACTTCTGCACACAGCCTATGATTCAGCCGTGGCACACGCTGCCACAGGAAATTGTTGAGGCCAAGAACTTAAGATTCAAAGAGGGATTGCATATTTACACAGACATCAGGTATATCCAGAGTTACTGTAATTAAAGATAACATTTTGGAAGGGATATTGAAACTTGTGCTTCAGGGCTTTCTCCAGTCTCTATCAGATGAGAACAAATACCACATGTATGCAGTGGAGGGTTCTTACACCTTCAATTGAAGCATCTGTTCCTGGCCACTGTCAAGAGACAGGACACTGGACTATGTAGATCTTGGGTCCAGATACAGTACAGTAAATCAGTCATACGTCCCATGAGGAGGGGCTCCCACTGTCAGACCCGGGGATGGCTGAGAGCGGGAGGGAAAGAAATCCTGACATTTGAGAAATTTATCGCGAGATCACGAGTCAGACTAATTTTACTTAGAAATCACATCTCTTGCAATTAATTCACGAGAGTTTCACACTTCACAGATGAGAAAACTGAGGCAGAGTGGTCACCTAACCAGCCCCAGCTCACATGGCATGTCAGCGGCAAAGTTAGGGAGATCACCCAGAGAAACTGAATCCTAATCCCCTTCTCTAACCACTATACCAGTGAGTCTCAAACTTTTGTACTGGTGACCCTTTTCACATAGCAAGTCTCTGAGTGTGACCACCCCTTATAAATTAAAAACACTTTTTTAATATATTTAACACTATTATAAACAAAGTGGTTTTGTGGTGGAGGCTGACAGTTCATGATCCCCCGCATAATAACCTCATGACCCCTTGAAGGGTCCTGACCCACAGTTTGAGAACCCCTGCGCTAGAGCATGCTGCCCCACGCAAAATATTTGGTTAGCCTGTTCCAAAACTGGCTTGGTGATAAGAAAAAACTAACAGAAACACGTTTAGATCATACCAGAACTTAATAAATTAGAGCATGTGCCATCGAATCACATGTAAATGCAGCGTAGTACAGAACTGCATTGAGTGATGGGCGAAAAAGGGATTAAAGAAATCTAATGACTATCTTTTCATGCTCAATTTTTATTTCAGTTTTATGCAACTGCATAAGTATAAATATTTTTGTTCAATATACAACAATTATGACATCCATAGGGAGTTTCTTAAAGAAAATAAGACTGCAAACACTTTATTGCACAGATCCTAACAAACTGGTTTTGTAAGCTGATAAATCTACAGCAGGAAGTCTACAAAGGAGCACGTCATAATCAACAATCACACAAAGATAGACCATCTAGTACACAGGTGAAAGGATCTCTAACAGTTCACTGGTAAGGTAAACTCCAACAACAGGTACTACATGAACACGAGCTTAAGCACTGTTACGCTTCCAAAATGCAACAAAAAAACCCAACAACAACAAACCCCCAAACAAACAAAACAAAAAACCAACAACCCTTATTTGGCAGAAGTGATAATGCACTATACAAAATATACATAAAAGATACATTTGTAAACAAATAGCTAGGTGTGTTTTAAAGGAAACAAGAGGACAGTTTAAAAATGCAAAAGACTGTAAACTAGGAAATACCTCCCAGCCAGAAATGTCATGATACCTAAGTGCATTAGTGTTTGGTTATAAACAACCACCAAAGCACAGATATATACTGTAAATGCTGAGACCACTTTCTCTTCAAAATTTTTCAAAACTATTTTCTCCAATTGTATTCTGTGAGAGCATAGAAAAAGAAATGAATGTAATAGCGCAGTGTGAAAAATTAGGAGGACTTGCTGGCAATTTTATCTTTAATTGGAATGAATCTAAACCCAACTAACCAATGGGGGTGGAAAATTAACACACTAGTAGGTGCCTTACAAATCTCCAAGCCTAAATTACACTGTGCTTTGAGGAAAAATTGTATAGCTCTAGAAAGAGAAAGAAATTCCAGAGGAAACTGATAGTAGATTGGCTCTTATATGGATATTTAACACAAATAAGCAAAAATACCATCTTATTGATACCAGTAATTTTAAAATACTCATCTGTGTGGATATTTCTGTAGTGCTCCTGTACATATTTCAAACTTTACCTTTTGTCCTTCAAAACAAACCAAATACCTCCGCACTAGAATGACCAGACAAATTCAACATGTTCCACAGTATACAAAATTTAAATAAGGCTTAGCAAAAGTAATAAGGACAGTCACATTCTAGCACCAAATAGCTCCAACACGTCCCTTCGTTACAAAAATGCTGCTTTTTTAAATTACAGTATTTACTTTTTTTTTTTTTGCATACAAATAAAGAGATCATGTTATGAAATGCCCGGAGCTACTCAATGCATTTAGAAATGAATGTGAAACCCAGGGATTACTTGCTAAAAACAGCAAGTTTACTCTACAACATAAGGCCGCAGCTATGTATTAAAATGCATCAGATGTCCTGATCTTTTGTGAAGATATGATACTGAAATCACTTTTTTCCTTTTTACCAGACTTGTCATATAAAAGAGAAAAAAGCTAAACTGCACGAAGCTAGTTACTCAAACCTACATACCATGATAATTGATATTCTTTAAATTCATTAAAAAACAGGGATGGGAATAGTACTGCAAGTCATTTGCTTCTACTTGTGCCTCACCTCT